TACGTGTAGATTTATTCTGCTAAAATTTCTCTTGCTACGGCTAAAGAAAATTACTAAACTCTCTATTCAGTTCATCAGTTTTTTTAATGGTTCTTCCTGCTAGATGGGAAACCGTTACTATTAAATATTGTAGACTACTAATTGATTGGGAATAATAACAATAATAAAATAATAATAGAAAGGATAATAAGGATTTGCTAAGACACGATCAGAGTATTTGGTCTGACAATTCGGAAACGACTCGACCCCGAATTATGGCCCTCAGGGTTAGGGCTAATAAGGGTTGTATATATTAGAAAGAAATGGTACAACGTTCTTTATTCATTTAAAAAAGTTTAACGAACAAATGAACCGTAAAAGTATTTTGCCAGAAAATAGAACAAGTAAAAGGATGTATATAAAGATTGTAAGGTGTTTCTAATATCCAGTGAGGGCTTGTAAAGGAAAATTACACAAGTATTCATGTAATAGAGAATTACATTTGTTACAAATTTCCTCTTTTTCGTTATACAAGTTCGATGCAATTTCTTGATGTTTCATAAAAAAAAAAGAATACAAATTTGTGCATTTTTTTTTCTTTCACCCATTTTCTTTCCTTTACTTATGAGACAAAGGTCAAAGGTTACCTAAAATAAGTAATTTTCTTCCATTTGCATAATGAATTTACACGAGATAGTATTGTTAATATTTTCTGAAGGAGCTACTAAACGTCTACTAGACAATACAATTATCTGAGAAATTATATAAATATGTCTATAAATCTATAAATAGATGTATGTACTATATATAAGGTAATGATATAAAAATTCTTCCATTGTTTATCACATTTACGGATAGTGTTTCTGTTTAACATTAACATATTTATCGATTGTCTATATGAATTTAATTCTTTTCTCTTGTAGTCGATACCGCAAATACCGGCAGTATTTATAGTGTCATCGATTGCCTAGTCAATTTTGCAATTAGACATAAAACGCGTCCTTAAGGCGTCAAGGCATCACCAATTTTACAAAAATCTATTGAACCGTATCAAATTTTGTAATCCATGGTATGACTGTGGGATAGGGAATAGAGATAGGAAAAAATTGGTGAAAGTCGAAATGGGCGGTGTTTTGGGGAATATTGAAGAATCTCTCACGCGGTAAGAAGTAAATGAAAAAGGGAGACGAGGGACAGAACGAACGAAAAGGAAAGAAGGAGGGGGTGAGAGAATATGAGATTGAGGAACCTATAGAATGCTGAAGCTTTTGATCAGAAATCAATAGGACGAACAAAGACGGTGTTGAGTTTAAGAGAGACAGGATTGCTGCCATTTTTCTTACACTACGTAAATATATACGTTCATTTGGGTTGCGGTGGTAAATAACGCTTTTATCGGCTTTTTTTAACCGACTAAACGTCTTCAATTCATACCTTAAGAAAAGATGTAAGAGAGACAGAATACGTTAGCAAAAGAAAATTTTAGAATAATAGCTTGACAGAATAAGAGAGAGAGAGGGAAGAGAACGACTGATGGGCAGACAGAGACAGAGAGAGAAAGCCTGAAAAACAGAGGGGTATATATATAAGGGGTGAAAAAGGGGTGGGTGGTGGGCGGGCAGGCTAGAAAGGAAAGATAAGATTTATATTAGAAAGAAAATTCTCCCGTTATTCTACATCTCTTTAAGGTTAAGGATTTTTTCGGTCTTTCATCATCTTTGTGGCATTTGCTTGGCAATTTCATGGAATGATGTATTAAATAGGCCTAATATTTTTCTAATACGACAAGAAAGCCATTGTCAAAAAAGAGAGGAGAAAATTTTTTATTATTATTTATAACGTTTTTTTTCGTAAAAACTAGAAAGAAATGATATAAAATGGTAAGAATAATCCAAAGATCATTAATTGCCAAATGAATAATTAATAGAAGAAATTTCTCTCTCGATAAGAAATTAGCATTAATAACTTAAAGCAATAAAAACCAAACACTAATACCGTTAATCTCGTTAATCCGCTATAATAAAAAACAAGAATTATAAATGAAAAATTTTGCAAAAACTGAAAATTTATAAAAACAAAAATTATTGCATAAAATAGAAAAAGAATTTTCCTTTTTGGATAAAATCTTGCAAATCGGACGTCACGAAAAACCGATATTCATTACTGAAATCCGCTGCATCTGGCAATTTACCCGGATGTCTTATGTAAGCCTTGTACACGACAAAATGATCAACTTCCTACAGCGATCTAATTAAACTTTCTCCTTTTCATTTCTTTTTTTCTCTCGAAGAATTTATCAATATTGATATATTGATATCTTTTCTTACTTTCTTTGCCTTTTCCCCCCCTCTCCTTAATTGATTATCTCTTGAATTCTTATTAATCAATCAAAAGGATAAATGAAAAGAAAATTTATTAAAGCTCTATTAATATTAAGAAAAGGAATAGATGTTAGGGGAATTTTCGTAAGAAATCTCATAGATGAAGCCTTAATTTGGTTAACTCGAGCTGCGGTGAATACACGCTTGACCTAATAATTATCGACTTTTTTTACGGTTGTTACACTACAGAGTATTAGAGAGAGGGATAGGGCAAAAAAAAGGAAGATTAAATGTACGTCACACCCATATTTCCGTAAAATAAAGTTTGCCTGTAATTACGAAAGCAGCAACAGGAAAAAAGAGAGAGAAATCGGTAAACTAAAAGGTTTAATTACTTGAATCGATTAAGGTTGTTCAGTAATGATTCAAAATTTATTGAATAATAAGGGGAACTTAACTCCATCAGTGTAAATTCTTTATGAATACATCAATCCACATATATTTTTTATATACTAAATACTATGATTTTTTCATAAACTGCCAGTCTTTGTTCTCGTTTTTTAAGGTCATCTAATAACACTTCTATCGGATAATGATTAGTGTTTGAAAAGCGTATGCCATATCATTAAATTGCATAAAATAAATAATTTTTTTCTTGAGGCTATAAGAAGTTAAGTCTTTCACTTATCTACTTTGTATCTCATCTGAATTGATTCTAATGTTATAAAAAGGGAAAAAGGAAAAGGGGAAAAGGCATTGAGAAAGAATAAACCCCTCCCCCCCCCCAAAAAAAAGAAAGATTGAAAGAAGAAAAATATGTATCAAAGAGAAAGTTTCGCTAATGTTGCGTGAACATTTATGAACCGTTAGGACCTGGAGGATTATAGTCTGTCACTATTATACTTCTCGTTTTTCTTTCACTCTCTCATCCCTCTCTCTTTATTTCTCTTTTCACATTCGGTTCAACTATTGTTAGAAGGCATCGTTCCAAATCACTTATGGCGATATCAAGTGAAGCGAATGATATATCGTAGAGAAACGTGCCGAACTCGAGAAAAAATACGTAAAAGAGAGGGCTTTGTCCGATTTTCGGACATTGTTTATTTTAGAAGAAAACGAGGATTTCGATGGGATTTCGATGATGTACCGTTTGCGTGTTATTTTTTTATTATATAGTACAGTCCCAAAGCGGAGTGTTTCTTTTTCATTTTGCAGTACTCCGTCTTAATCGATTGCTGCAGGTGGTTTTTCTATGGAAATTTCTCTTGGACCAAATACAAAAAAAAAGAGAGAAAGACGTGTATTATTGTTTATTAGTTACTTGATAAGCTATATATTTGATTCGATTAATTGGTTAGATTTATTACTTTAATCTGCAATTAGGATAAAGTAAAAACGATATCTGACTACGTAAATGAGAAAATTTGTTAAGTATTAGTTGCCTAAAAAATGAATATATCAATAAGGAAAGTAAACTTTACTTTTCTCTCTTCTTCTTTCCAACACGTTTTTGATGCATCTTTGAGACTTCCAATAACTGAACTTAATGATGTAATTGAATCGAAAATTCAAATTATTCCTTAATTCAGGCTGTTGTCTGGGGAGGCTATCTCTTTCTTATACTCTAATAAAAGATAGAGAATGGAATCCTTCAGTTTGACATTTGTATAGGAAGTTCTAAGTAGTATACTCAGTACTTTTAAGTAATAAGACATCTTTGAAGAAATGCAAGATCAAAATGAGATAGTGGAAAAAAAGAGAGACAGAATCTATCTTTTTATTAGTTGAAAAAAACTACCAGTTGATAACATTGTTATGGTATTTTATCCAATTACATACAACATTTTAGTTACATTTCATCAAGCATTATCAGAAGATATAACAATAAAGGAGAAGAATAAGGAGAGAAGGATTGGAATGTGGCTTATTTTAAGAGAGAGAGAGAGTTTTGTGTCTAAAAAGTAAGTTCAGTGTGAAAAAGAGCAATTTGTGCTGCCATCTTTGACAATTATTATACACTAAATCCAACAAACTATATATAAAAAGATAAGGTATTTTCCCATCAGCTGACTACTAGAAAATTTCTATTCTAGCCGTAATGTTACAGATCGTGTCGCCATCTGTTAATCATCTTCTGCACAGTGTAACTAAAATGATGTTAAACTAGAAAATTAGCTCCAGTAATTGCTTTTATTACCTGAACAAAATAAATCTATGAAAAGGAGAATTATTAGTAATAAAATTGACAATGGATGAGATTTACTACATTCAAGTCTATAATTAAATATTTGACAGAAGGAATTTTAAAAGTTTAGTGGTTGTTTAACGTTTAAAATGTGTTGGATAGCGTAGGCTATAAAATTCTAATAACTACAATAGAAATAGATACATTAATTTTAAAAAATGGTAAATGAAAAATCAATTCTAAACAACGCTACTGTGTTTAAATGTGGATAATTTCTATTCAGCCAATTCTGAAAGGCTGATTAGAAAATCGAAGAGAAATGAATCATTAGCTTAAAAGGATACAACACCATTTGGAATCGCTAGTTATAAAAATTCTAAAGTTACAAGGTCTCTTCGATAATTACATGGCTCAGTCAAGAATCGCGATAAGCCATGGTAAAACGTCTAATATGAGTCGCTTTAAAAAAATCGTTACTAACTCCACCTATCGCCGAAACGAATGTCGTAAAAGCCATATCTCCGAACAGCTTGTTTCGACGATCATTTCAGATAAAGCAGACTTATTTTCACATATAAGTGTTAAATTGATTGAAAGAAGTAAAAAGAAATTAGGATAATATTCATCAGACATGTATGGAGCAGCAACTTCAGTTCATTTGGATATGTTGAGAATTTCTCCTCCAACTTATAGGAGAAACTCAACAGCTTATTCTCATAGAAAGAGTTATGATTTCTCTAGTAGACGAAACTCGGCAATGCCGTCTAGAAAGAGTTCATCAGCAACGGCTGTCTCTAGCCGCTTTGCCGTTCAAGCAACATCTTTAAAGGAGGAGGAGGACGAGGAAGAAGTGGAATTTGTTCACGCCGAGCTCGTAGAGAACATCAAGAAGAGAGTTCCATGTGGAAAATGTGTTGTGGATAGGATGTTGCTGTGTATCTGCCCACAGCGACACCGTGAGTGTACGAACATGCACCATATAAGATTTAATTATCCCTTTTTCAAATTATTTACGACACACCCAATTTTTCTCTCATCTATAGTTTTTACTTATTTTTTATTCAACCTCAATTTCTTTGCTTATTTGTTCTTGCTTTACCTCAAACACAAAATCTACTCACCGTTTAGCGTATAAAACAGATAAGTTAATGTTAGATATTAGTTTATTATGGTAAATAATTAAAGAAAAATACTTGTACAATGATAAGAGTGTAATTAGAAAAGATCATTCAATTTTCGTCACATTTTTTATGCAGTAGTTGTATATTATTTAAATATTGACGTATTTTCGCTCTACTGTCTTCTCGGGGGATGCTTTGACAGTATCAGGATTTTTATGAACATCTATTTAATATGTATGAGCTGATTTAAATGGGTCTATTATACTAAGTAAAAGAGATACAAAATGTTTCATTGTTATTATACTAACGATCAATAAGATTGAATCCTTAACTAACCAGGCGTATGTTATAACTATCTAATATTAACTCAGGCGGAGATTTTAGGGCCTTTACTTCGCCATAAGTTGCTCGTAAATATCTAATCGTAAAGCAGTTTTCTTAAATTACTAGACGTTTGTAATCGTAGGAAATAGGATTCTGTTTCTATCTATTTATTTCCCACACGTTCCCCTGGTGTAACCAATAAAGTACTCCATATAGGGGTTTATCGTGGTTAATAAAATATAGCTGTAGCATCAGAATAAGCGTCACTTGTTCTAAGAAATAAGTGATTCTATTTTCATAGTAAATATGATTTAGAATACAGTATAATCAATAATTTTGGTTTATTATACTTTTGCATATATCCGAATAAAGGCTTTAAATCATTTCACAGTACTAGAATGAATACTCATAAAATGAACTGAACAGCTTGCTGATAATAGCGATCTGCGTATATATAGCGTTTAAAGAAGCGTTTTGTACATCTCTTTTTATTACAGCTTAGACTAAGAACTTGTAAAAAGTACTTCTTTATTAGTTTAACTTTATTATTCGCTATTACTGACTTGTTTTTTTTATGGTTTTCGTTAAATACTTTTATCATATTGGATGACTTTAAGCAGGGATTTTACCTAATATTAGTCCTTCGGGCATTAAACTTAAGTTCTCATTTATCGTACTTAAGATGACAACGCGAAGAAAAGCCAAAATAGAAATATAGAAATAAAATTTCTATGATTCTGGCCGCAATTTATTCAGGTGGTCATCATATTTTATTGTCGTTCCTAACCATCTCATATCCCTCACTCATTCAGCCTCTCTGTTTCTTTCTCTCTCCGCTCTCACTCTTTCCCTCGCTTCCACTTTCTGTCTCATTTTTCTATTCCTGTATCCCAATTTATCACTATTTATCAAGGGCAATATAAGTATATTTTGACATAGAAACTAATTTTATTCCATTATTGTTATATAATGAAGAAACATTATAGAAATCAATCAGGAAAAGAAATGATTCAGTTGTTCGTTCCCATATTTTCCTTTTGTAGTTTCTGCAATCGGATATCCAAAATGTGCCGCTGGGGAAATGTCTTCTTTGTAAAAAGTGTTACATATTCGACTCAGGTGATGGCTGGAAATTAGTAATTAGTGCAATGCGATTTAAACAAGTGACGTCTGCCTGACATTTTGTTGCCTGTTTTGGCATTTACTGTCTTTGTTTGGTTTCTCCGAGACTGGAATATAAACGTATGTTTAGTGTAACTTAGTATGAAAGCTATACACTATAAGTATTACAATATACATAGAGTCTATAGATATATGTACCTAAATATTTCGGTCGATTTTCCAAAACCTGCTCATCCATCACTGAATTTTCTCCCTAATTGACTATTTGCTTCTCTTGCCAGAGTCGTCTCTGCGTAAATTTTCTCTTGATAGAAAAAGGCTACTAACTCTTTTAACATTTCATCATGTTATACTCATTTAAAAATTTTTCTTTTATCATTTATATCTAATATCAATGCAAAGGAAAGTAATATTCGTCTCATTCTGGAGAAAGTCTGGATTTGACCACAATATCGGCTTTGCAAATACTTTATGGTATATTCTATGCCTGTACGAATATATACTTAATATATATTAACAAATATGATAAGTAAACGGTAAGCTAAAGCGTTTTCTATTCGCTGACGCCCTTTAACGAAATTTTACACTTTAAATCAAAAAGTTAATCATCATTTAAGCTGATTAGAATTGTAAATTCTCTCCTTTTTTGCATAAAATCATTAAATTAAATTTTATTTTTATACTTTTCTCACAAGTTGAAATGTTCTTCGAACGTAAAACGAATAAGCAATATTGTAACGAATTCTGTTGTCAAACAGCTGTGATTCGTAGAGAGACACTCTAAAAAAAGAGACGCTATTTGAATGTCTATCGATCAGGCATTTCCTGCGTTTGTAAAATTGTAGCTCAATAAGGTATAAATATCTGACCATGGGAAGTTCGTTGATTTTTTTTTTCCCTATTCAATAACTTCCTAAAAGACTACAACATAAATTGGTTTAATAAAGAAAAAACAAACAAAGACTGATTCAACTTCCGTTTTATTTGATTTTTCTCGTAAGGATTCAATAGGAATTTTGCCGTCCATACATTTTTTATTTTCCAAGTCTATTTTTTTTACAATTAATCTTTCAAGCCTTAAACACAGAACCAATGGCGTATTGAAAAGTTTTACAGATACATTTTACAGATACATTTTAGCAATGAAGTAACTAGCTTAAAAGTTTATAAAACAATTAATTACATCTATAAATTCCCAACTATAAAAATAATAAGCTAATATTCTGATTAGAATAACGTAAATCCAACTAATGTTAAAGTTGATACTATATATATACAGTATAAACTGTATATATAAATTAAAACACTTTCGTTCTATTCCCCGTATGATGACTTTATTTTTGTTCCTGGGTCGCCTCACCTTGGGAAATAAGGGGCAAAAAAACAAGAAATATTGTAATATTTATTATAACAGAAAAATTTGGTTTTTTTGCATTATAATCGTTTAATGAGTATAAAAGTTCAAACGATAATTAATAGTTTGACCAGAATGAACTTCTGTTACAATTCACCAACAATAACATTTAGTCATTTTCTTATCGTTTACTGGAAATAAGCCAGTCAGTCGAATAGGTTTACCAGTCTAATTTATCAATCCATCCTACGTATTATTAATATACTTTGATAATATTAAAATGTCGCAAAATATAATGACAAATAGATGTAGAAGGGGAATAACCTCTATGGGAAAGATCGGAAAGCTTAGGCCAAATAGTAAGAGGCAATCGTAAAAAAACGTCCTGCGGGTTTTTCAGGCTTCCATTAACTGAAACGGTTGGACTATTTTTCGTACAGGAGTCTTTTTAGTATCCTTCAGTACAAAAAAAGGTTATTTGGTGAAGCGTGTTTCAATGATAGTGTAAATTCTGGGAAAACATGCTCATCTTATGTTCCGTCGGTAATCACTTCCGCTCCCCTACTTCCCTCCCTCCGTCCCTCCTCTTCCTTGCACAGAAATAAGGCAGATGGAGAAATTTACATTGATAGGGAACTTAACCTTTAGGTTATCTGTTGAGCGTCCCCAGAAAGTATCTGAAACAATGTTGTAAAAGCTCATAAAATGAATCTATTATTCTCTTTTTTCTTTGTCTCTTGCAAGAAGAAAATAGAAATTTGCCTTTGGACTAATCCTTCAAACTCATATTGATTCTTTCTGTTGTTTTTCTTCTTTTCTTCTATTATACAATATGTACGTGTTTATCTTGTTAAATCTTGACGATGGTTGCCTCCTTTCTCTTACTATTCTCATTTCTTTTAGACAATATCAACGTAATGGTGAACATATTGCGCATTTTTCTAACTACTTTAAATAAAAGAAAGAGAGAGAGAAGAAAGTTTTTTTCTCCAAGGAATTATTTAATTAATTGATACGTAAATTCTCGTTATTTGTATACTTTTTATTCTCTATTTTAATTAACGAAAAATTCGAAGAGTAATCCTCAATAAGAGAATGGGAAGGTTACTAATTTGTTTCAGGAACATCCGGTACGGCAATTTAAGAGGGTTTAGCAAGAGATGTAAGTGAGAAAATAGTGAACTTTTGAGTAAAAGTTAACTATAAGATATTATCGATTGAGTTATCCTATTTCTAGTTTGATAGAAAAAACACTCGTATGCTAATCAAACGAGATAAAAGACATGTAATAATTTATTAACTTATCAATAAGACTATATTCCGTCTTGTTTGCATTTACCCCGAGAGCTAGAATATATTATACTCGGAGGAAACGATACAGAGAAAAAACAGGTGATGAAGTTAGAAAGAGCGAGGGGAGAGTGAGAGAGTGAGAGCGAGAACAATTAGAAATGAAGGCGTATGAATCTTTACTCTTGTCCGTATTCTTTATGTTTTTTGTCTATCTTTTTTGTATTCTATTTTGATACACTTATAATCATAAATCATGTCGAATAATGCATCCTTCGTCTTCGTGTTTTGCTCATGCTTACAGACAAAAGATATCTTTCTGTAGTTCTTGCTGTCTATTTCCAACTGACACAAGCAAGAAATGTAGAAATTGATTTAGTAAATTGGAAGAATGGTAAAACATGAGAATAATCTGAAGCTATAGCGAATACTGTAAGAGAGAAATGATTTAGATTTGCTTGAAAGCAAAGATACCTTTCACTTAGATTTGACATGGTCTAGTCAGGTGTTGGAAATTCTCTATAGCGCATTTTTTCATCTTATTTTCTCACACGAATTCCTTTTTTTTTCTTTGCGTTGCGTGCTGTACAAGTCGGTTATAGGGCGCTGTCGAACACAGCTGCAAAGTAGCGGCGTATACGGAACGTAAGGGGAATAGTTCTTTCCGTGTTGGATTATATTCGTTATTCGTGCGCTAAGCCTTCCTGGCTTTAATGCTCTTTTGAGTAAAAAAGTTTGGAAAGATGCTCGGAACGTCTACGGGAATTATGAGGGACAATCAAGGAGACGGTGAATCTAGTAAGAGTATTTGAAAGAGCTCTGTTCAATCTTACTAACCAACCATCCTTAATCTCCCATAATATATAAAAATAATGGATAATTTTTCATTCTCGTAATGTTTGCATCAATCTGACAGACCTATTGAAAACATCGACTGCTGATAATTGACAAACTCCTCCAAAGTTTATTTATTAGACAACCTTTTCCCCTTCAATCTTTACAAAGTTACTTTTTAACCCAATCAACCTCTGAGTTTCTCTTTGCCTCGTTTTCTCTCTCTCTCTCTTTCTCTCTCCATATTCCTGTGTCTATGTATTCATTTCACGCCTTTCTTTATTTCTGACTTGAATCCATTTTTCGATCAAAACTCATTATAACGATCAATATATCATTGTATTATAAACAAAGTCTTTCATCTTTTGCTTATCCGTAGAGTCTCATTTAGGTTGTGAGTATTGTTGCATATAGAAAGAGAAAGAGAAAGAAAGCAAGAGAATGATCAGGAAGAGCAGACGAAGATAGACAAAGAAAGA